TCTGCTGTTCTGTGTTTCCCACAGGCGTCTTCCGTGGCCAAGATACACAATTTCACACCTCCTCTATAAAGATTTTTTTAATTAAGAAATTTCAATGTAAAATAATTGAAACATAATAAAAAGAATAGAAAAACAAGTTATACCTAAGAATTCACCACCCAGATTTAACTAATATTAATCCACTGTCCTATTTGCTCTGATTCTGTTTCTGAAAGGAATACAAATTACAGCTACCTTTATCCCTAGTCTGCCCTCACCCTATATCCAGAAGTTATCCCCCTAATTTAATCCTAAAGTGGGTATGTAGCATTCTAATATATGAGTTTAATAGAGTTTGATAGCAGGACTCTGGGCCCAAAAATAAATGTTTGAATCCCAGCTCCTCTACTTACCAGTCCTGTGCCTCAGTTTCAGCATCTGTAAGATAAGGTTGGGATTAAATGAATAATGTATTTAAGTCCCTTAAACAACACTTGGCACATAGAGACTCTATCTTAGTTCATTTTCTGTTGCTTACAAAATAATACACAAAACTAGATAATGTATAAGAAACAAAATTTATTTCTTGCAGTCTGGAAGATGCAAAATCCAAGGTTGAGGAGTTGCATCTGGTGAGGACCTTCCTGCTGATGGAGACTCTCTGCAGAGTCCCAAGGTATTGTGGTGCATCAAACAGTGAGGGGGCTGGGCCTGCTAGCTCAGGTTACTCTCCCCCTTCTTATAAAGCTACCAGTCCTACTCCCATAATAATCCATTATTATATTAGCCCATGAAACCATGGTGATCCACTCGTCATAGGGCAGAGCCCTCATGACCCAATTGCCTCTTAAATGCCCCTGTGTCAACACCACCATGTTTCAAATTAACTTTCAACAGGAACTTATACATTTTGACTATTATTAGTAATGCATATGTTTATGTATTTTCTAACATATGTGTTTATCCATAAACAATTTATATGACTGTTTTAAAGTATTTTACAAATATACATATATAGTATCATCTGCACATATCCTTTTATTTTTTTAAAAAAACTCAACAGTATGTTCTGTGATTTGAGTATGTTGACTTACACAGATTCAGTTCATTGTTAATGAGGTGTAATACCTCAGTTTATGAATATACTTCAATTTAATTATGCATCCCTCTATTGATAGACCCTTGAGTTCCTTCTGATTTTTCACAATTACTGCAATACATCAGCGCACAGTTCCATGTACACATGCAAGAATTAGATGCCTGCCAGTGGAACTGCTGGTTGCTCACAATTGTGATTTCAGTAGATACTTTTATGTACTATAAATATCCTTGAGCTCTGTCCTGGGATGCAATTAAGGTACTCAGAAACATTTTATCCTTTTGAGACTCACTTTTAAGCTTTGTTAGAGGAAACCAGAGCAGTCTTTAGTTCATAGCTAATTTTTTCCCATTACTGGTTACTTCTGATTATGCTCCCCAATACCCTGTGAATTATGAGATTTTCCCACTCTGGCTGGTGACACAAACCATTCTCAGTCTTGTGTGAATTCCAGAGATTGCACCCACTAATTATTTCCATTGTTTTCTCCAATGGAAATACTTGGGTAGTTTCCCTAAGTAAATGCACTGAGCAGCCTTCAGCTAAGACTCTAGAGGAACCCTTGCCAGGTCCCTCAAGCTCTCTTGCTCTGGGCAGCTTTCCCCTTCCATGCTATTTCCTGTCAACTGTAGCCTTCTTGCTGTCCGTAGCCTCCCAACTCCATCTCTTTGACACAACTCAGGAGTGAGAGCTGTCAGTTCTCAAGGTAGCAAGCTGGAGTGATTGCAGGACTTATGTGTTTGTTGTCTGTCCCTCAGAGGCCATGGTCTTGGTCTTGTGCTGCCTAATGTCTGTGTGCCTTATGGTTTCCTGTATTTTGTTTCTTGTTTTTAGTCATTTCTGGCCAGAGGTAAATCCAGTCCCTGTGACTTCACCCAGGCCAGAATGATATTGTTAATTTGTTCTTTGAAGTGATGAAAACATTTTACAATCATAGCAATGGTATGGAAAAGTTCTAGATTCTACACCACTTTCCCCATCATCGGTCTTCTAAAATTTTAAACAATCTAATGGCGAAAAATGGTACAGATGGGTATCTCACAGTTTAATTTTGCACTTCCCTGATTACTAGCAGGATTGTGCGTCTTTTCATGTATTGGCTATTTGGGTATCTTCTATCAATTTCCTGTCTACTGCTTTGCTCATTTCTACACTGGCTTGTCTATCTTCTTATATATTGATTTGTATAGGCTCATTCCTTACATATTCCGGATATTGATCTTTTGTTAGGTGAATGCACTGTAAATATTTTCCCAGTCTATGATTTGTGACTTCACCTTGTGTATAGTTTCTTTTATCATATAAAACCTTCTATTTTTTATATATTCAAATTCATCAGTCTTTTCCTTTATGGTTTACACTTCTGTGTATTATTTAAGAAATCTTTCTCTACCCTGACACAACGAAGATGTCTCTTACATTTTCTCATAAAACTTTTAAAATTCACCTCTTCTTAGTCCTTCTGGAGTTTATTGCATGAGTTAGGAATTGTTTTTCCCTGTGGGGATGACCAATTGTTTGAGCGCTATTAATTAAATAAACCTGTTCCTTCCCTTCAGATTTGAATGGCAATTCTATCATATACCAAGTGGGGTCTTTATTTTGTGCATTCCTGGAAACAATACCAAATTGTTTTGTTATATCTTTAGAACAGGTTTGATACCTGGTAGGAGAAGATACTCCTCCTATATCGTTACAAAATTTTTGTAGCTATTCTTGACCTCTAAATCTACTTTTTGAACCAGTTTCTGAAGTTCAATAAAAAAGCTCATAAGAATTTCATTGAAACTTCAATACATTTATAAGTTAGTTGAAAGACAATTTAAAATATTGAGCTTTCTCATTTATCTTTCTATTTGAGTTTTCCTTGACATTCTTCAATAAAACTTGATAATTTCCTTCATTAATCTCTTGCAAATATTTTATATTCCTAAGAATAAATTATAACTACATAAGTCTTATAGTTATTCAGCATGAGTTTTTAGATTATGTTTTAATAGATTATTTAATATTATCAGGTTTTCTGGATCTCCTGAAACTTCTGAACAGCCTTCTATTATCTGGAGAAATTGTCAACCTTCTGATCTCTTTCTAACCAAGTAGTACCTTTACTAAGTAGCATCCTGGTTTCTTCCCACCAGTCCTGCCTGGCCTCCTTTAAGGCCAATGCTCTGATAATTAAATGTGCCCCCCTTGACTTCACTTAGAAAGTGAGGGATGTAACCCAATAGTGGAGATAGATATCCATTTTTCTAGAAATTATGCAGTAGAACAGTGGAAGACTTATCTATCTGGTCCAGAATTTCAATTGCTGGAACTGTACAGGGTTGTCATGGCTTCCTGATATAATTGACTGCTGTTCCTGACTGCTTCGTGTAAAAGCTTAACTCTCTGGCCTCCTGTAGATTCCATGAGCTGCTGATATCCTCTAATGAATATGCTTTTGCCTAAATAACTGGAAAGCCTTCTATTGCTCACAGTCAAGAACCCTAATATAGGGATATTGCTATACTTGCTTTTTTTGACTAATATCTGTCTAGAAAATTATATTGATATCCTTACACTTTATAGGTGTGTCTCTTGTAAACAGCACATTGCTGCATTTAAACATTTATTTTTCGTATAGTCTGAGAATTTGTATCTTCTAACAGATAAATGTAACTGCTCTATATTTAATAGTTAATAAATTTTTGGAATTATTTATGCTTTCCTATTTTGTATTTTCTGTCAGGTTTTTCCTTAGTTTTTTATATTTTCCTTTTCTCTCTTCTATTAGGCTGTTTGAGCTTTTTCTTTTCTTCTTTTTTAATCTCAAATTGAGCTTATGCTATATATAACACTTTTTATAGAGTTCACTTCAGGAAACCAAGCACAAATATTTGCAATATCATACATTATAATGAAGCAGTACAGAAAATGTGGTCTCATTTTGAAATTTCAATAAATTTTGATTTTATGTAGCTACAGCAATTTATGTCTATGTAAAATTCTTTGACAAATTCAAATACCCAACTATATCTATGCCACAAGTTTGATATTTTAGGCCACGTGTTGACCTTTCTTTATAAATTTGGAAGTTGAGATCAAACTCACACAAAGTATTAGTTGAATAATATCTAATATTGCACAATGCCCCTAAAGCTAAAAAAAAAAAATTACTTGCAATTTTTCAATCTTTGATTCAATCGATCTTTACTATTATTATAAAAGTCTTATGTCCTATAGAAGATTATTTGGTGGCTTAATTGAAGATCTCTTGCTTTTTGTAAAAAATCATTTTCAGTCTTTTTTAATAATATTCTACCAAAATTATCATAATAATAACCAATAATTTATTTCACCATTTCTCCATCTAAAGGTGGCTTTAGTTTTTGTACAAGAATTCAAGCCATCTTGTAGGTGGCCAAAGTTATCAACTCAAATGCTATAACTCATGTGACTTGCACAATACAATCAAGCATGTTACAAGATTGTATCCATGCAGAGAAAAAGGCTTATTCAAACTGAATCAGTTTATTGATACTGACTAGATAAATGATGGGTTTAAGTGATTGATACTGACTAGGTCAATTTTTGTGTTTTGTGTTTCTAATGGAAACAAGGCATGTACCCGATATGCCCGCTATAACAAAAAATAATGTCTTATATAACGCAATCATTAATATGAAGTGTAGCCTAATTAAAACAATGAAATTTTTTTCAATAAAAAATATTTTATACTGGTTTAAAATTAAGTTTAAATTAATCAAAATTAAATAAAATACAAAACGTGGTTCCTCAGATGTACTAGTCATGTTTCTAGTGCTCAGTAATCACATGCAGCAAGTGGGTACCACACTTATATACCCCAATGTTTTTCTTTTATTTATTTTTTAATTACATTTTAGGTTTTGGGGTACATGTGAAGAACATGCAAGATTGTTGTGAGAACCTTCCTGCCGCTGCGTTTGTACCTCGCTGCTCCAGCCTCTGGGGTGCATTCCAACCTTCCAGCCTGCGACCAGCAAAGAAAAAAAATTACATATTTTTTTTGCATCGTACATACCTTGAGGTGAGCAAAAAAATTAAATTTTAACCATGAGGGAAATCGTGCACATCCAGGCCGGTCAGTGTGGCAACCAGATCGGTGCCAAGTTCTGGGAGGTGATCAGTGATGAACATGGCATTGACCCCACTGGCACCTACCACGGGGACAGTGACCTGCAGCTGGACCGCATCTCCGTGTACTACAATGAAGCCACAGGTGGCAAATATGTTCCTCGTGCCATCCTGGTGGATCTAGAACCTGGGACCATGGACTCTGTTCGCTTGGGTCCTTTTGGCCAGATCTTTAGACCAGACAACTTTGTTTTTGGTCAGTCTGGGGCAGGCAACAACTAAGCCAAAGGCCACTACACAGAAGGGGCCAGGCTGGTTGATTCTGTCCTGGATGTGGTTCACAAGGAGGCCGAGAGCCATGACTGCCTTCAGGGCTTCCAGCTGACCCCCTCACTGGGCGGGGCACAGGCTCTGGAATGGGCACTCTCCTTATCAGCAAGATCCGAGAAGAGTACCCTGATCGCATCATGAACACCTTCAGTGTGGTGCCTTCACCCAAAGTGTCTGACACCATGGTCGAGCCCTACAATGCCACCCTCTCCGTCCATCAGTTGGTAGAGAACACTGATGAGACCTATTGCATTGACAACGAGGCCCTCTATAACATCTGCTTCCGCACTCTGAAGCTGACCACACCAACCTATGGGGATCTGAACCACCTCGTCTCAGCCACCATGAGCGGTATCACCACCTGCCTCCGCTTTCCTGGCCAGCTCAATACTGACCTCCGAAAGTTAGCAGTTAATATGGTCTCCTTCCCACGTCTCCATTTCTTTATGCCTGGCTTTGCCCCTCTCACCAGCCATGGAAGCCAGTGGTATCGAGCTCTCACAGTGCCCAAACTCACCCAGCAGGTCTTCGATGCCAAGAACATGATGGCTGCCTGTGACCCCCGCCATGGCCGATACCTCACTGTGGCTGTTGTCTTCCATGGTCGGATGTCCATGAAGGAGGTCGATGAGCAGATGCTTAACGTGCAGAACAAGAACAGCAGCTACTTTGTGGAATGGATCCCCAACAACGTCAAGACAGCCGTCTGTGACATACCACCTCGTGGCCTCAAGATGACAGTCACCTTCATCGGCAACAGCACAGCCATCCAGGAGCTCTTCAAGCGCATCTCAGAGCAGTTCACTGCCATGTTCCGCCAGAATGCCTTCCTCCATTGGTACACAGGCGAGGGCATGGACGAAATGGAGTTCACCGAGGCTGAGAGCAACATGAATGACCTCGTCTCTGAGTATCAGCAGTACCAGGATGCCACCGCAGAAGAGGAGGAGGATTTCGGTGAGGAGGTTGAAGAGGAGGCCTAAGGCAGAGCCCCCAACACCTCAGGCTTCTCAGTTCCCTTAGCTGTCTTATTCAACTGCCCCTTTCCTCTCCCTCAGAATTTGTGTTTGCTGCCTCTTATCTTTTTTCGTTTGTTTGTTTTCTTCTGGGGGGTCTAGAATAGTGCCTGGCACATAGTAGGCGCTCAATAAATACTTGTTTGTTGAATGTCTCCTCTCTCTTTCCACGGGAAACCTAGGTTTCTGCCATTCTGGATGACCCTGTATTTCCTTCTGGTGACCATTCCTTCCATCTGTCCAGTTAATATTCCCCTTTTAAAAATCTCCAAGAAGCTGGGTCTCATCCAGATCCTGTTTAGAACCAACCAGGTGCTGAAAACATGTAGATAATGGCAACCATCCTAAGTGCAAAGTAGAAAATGCTAGAAGGTAGTGGGGTAGAAGTCACTGTAAGGAAAGAGATGGAATTTTCCATTCTAAAAGTTTGGGAGAGGGACATCGAAGCTATTAAGTCATTAATTTCTAGGTATTTCCATTTCCCATCTCAGTTTCAAGGGAGGTGTTAACAGTATTATTTCCATTTTTGATCTCCCTCCAAGCTCTACCTTGTGGAGGGGTCTGCCTCACTCTATCAAGTGGAATCCTTCCCTCTCCAACTCTACCTCCCTCACTCATTAAACTCCTTTCTGCTGATCAGAGAAAGGGATCAAGGGGGGAAAGAGACCAGCCTTGGTCCCTAAGCCTCCAGAAATGTCCTAACCCCCACCTTTTCTTGTCCCTGAAAAGGAATTAACATCCCTGACTATGTGGAACAGTGTATACTGCCACATCAGTGTTTGAGTCAATGCCCAGAGGAGAGGGGGACCCTCCTCCATCTTTTTTGCAACATCTCATATTTCCTTTTGCTGTGGCTTCCCCCCACACACACTTGATTTTGTTCTATCCTACATTTGAGATTTCTATTTTGTGTTGAACTTGCTGCTTTTTTTCATATTGGAAGGATAACATTGCCCCAAGAGCCAAAAATAAATGGGAATTGAAAAAAAAAAAGATAGTTGCATAGGTACACACATGGCAGTGTGATTTGCTGCCTTCCTCCCCATCACCTATATCTGGCATTTCTCCCCATGCTATCTCTCCCCAACTCCCCACCCCTCACTGTCCCTCCCCTATTTCCCCCCAACAGACCCCAGTGTGTAGTGCTCCCCTCCCTGTGTCCATGTGTTTTCATTGTTCAACACCCACCTATGAGTGAGAACATGTGGTGTTTGATTTTCTGCTCTTGTGTCAGTTTGCTGAGAATGATGGTTTCCAGGTTCATCCAGGTCCCTACAAAGGACATGAACTCATTGTTTTTGCTGGCTACATAATATTCCATTATACCACAATTTTATATTATTTTAGCTCCAGCTCATTTTTGGCCTTCCAAAAATTCTTTATTGTTATGATTGTTTTGACAATAAATGCTTAGATTTACTGATTTATAGACCCACTTATTTGCCCACTATAGCTTCCTGTATCCTAAACATTCTTTTCCATCGGTATGTTTCTTATTGAATTATATTACTTAGCAGTTGTTGCAGTAATTACCTATAAGTAATGAACTCTTAGTCTGTGCCTGAAAGTTTTTTCTTATCCTCTCTCTCTCTCAAATAATAATTTACCTAAGTATGAAATTGTAAGTTGTTAGTTATTTTTCCTCAGTACTTTGAAGCTAATCTTTAATCTTTTGGTCTCTAAAATTGTGGAAAAAACAGTCATTCTAATTACATCAGTGTAATTAGAATTACATTCTAATTTGTTTTGCTTTGTTTCATTTTATGATTTTTAAAAAGATGTTATCTTTGTTATTACTCTATCATCTCATTATGCTATGTCTACTTATGAAATTAATCTTGCTGTATACTCAGTGTACTTCCTCAATTAACAGAATTATGACCTTAACAATGTTGAAAACTCCTCACCTACCGTTTTTCAAATATGCCCTCTACTCTGCCCTCCCTTCCTGAAACTCCTGTTCAATAAATGTAAATCGTCTCCTTCTTTCCTGTCTATTTTCCATCTCTAAATCCCATGCTATACTGTGGGTGAGTTACTCAGCTCTACCTTCTTTACTATTTCTCTTTAAATGTCTTTAAACTGCTATTTAACCCATCTACTGCTCTACTTTTTCATTTTAAATATTATATTTTGAAAATCTATATAGTTTCTATTTTTTCATACCTACTTGTTCTTTTGTGTATTGCCCAGTTTTTTTTTAAATTACTTTAACCATTTTAAATAAATTCTTTCTGTGGTCCCAAATGGTTTTGATATTTCTGTGTATAAATTGTCTTATTTATTATATCTGCTTTACATCATGGTGGTTCAATTCCTTGTGTGGTTTGTAATTTATTATTGTGAATGAATATTAATTAGATTTTTTTTTCTGAGAAGTCCCACATGCCATAGTTTTTGAAAGTATCTCACAGAAATACTTTCCCAAAGTCCCAAGAATTCTACTGATCCCTTATGTCTGCAATTTACACACATTTGGTGGCTAGTAAAAACTCATGCCTTTTATCACATAAGGCATAGGGTTGGTGCTTCAGTTTCTACCTAGAGCCTCAGATATGGAGCAAGCTGCCCTCCACTTCTCTGGGTTAGTGGGGCACGTCTGTAGCCTCTTTTCATAGGTATATGCTTCAAAGGGCATGTCTTCATATAATTCACTGTCTAACATACGTTCAAACCACAGGTTTTACCCCTATCTAAGTAGGAACTCCTACCCACTCGCATCTATAGCTTGTTTCCATATCCCTTTGGGCTTCCATTTCACCTGTTCAGAAAAACCTTTGCACTATTTCTATAACCTAGGGATTTCAGTGCTTTTTTTTTTTTTAAGTTCAGCTATGTATTTCAGGAAAATGCTACCTTATAAACCAAACCAGTGTGTTTGTTGTAGAAGGATAGTACACATTCCAGGTAGCCAGCCTTTCCCTTGGACTTTTCCCCAGTAACATTTGAATTACCCATGAAAGGAGCATAAAGAAAAACAGCATTTTCAAGCCAAGGAAAAAGGACGTTCTATCTAAAATGGAAAAATACTAGTCAAGTTATTTCTTCCCAAAGCAAAAATGGCCTTTCAGATCTCCTGTTCTCTCTACGCTAAGCCCAGATGTGCATGAAACCTGTTGACTGTCAGTTGTTCTCATGAACAAAACCATTAAGGCACTCCTTAACCGTTCTGCCTGCTCCGAAAGACCTGCGGAAACTTGCCTGCATTCTTAGACAGCAGAAGAAACAAAGGAAAGTGATTTCTTTCTGAAACTCAGAAGCCCTCCTATATATAACTGTAAGCCTCTGCTTCTCTTATTCCTAGGGCCAAACTCCTGAAGGAAATAATAGCCTGGAGAAAGAGAGAGTGATGTGAGAGTAAGTTTCAAGAAGAAATTGATTCATGAGGACTCTCAGGGATGCTTCTGTTTGTTCTTTCAAGACTACAGTGAGGTGAATGGATGGGCTGGCCTATTGGCAAGGGCAGAAATTGATTACACCTCTTGTATAAGCAGCAGCTGCTTCCCGGTCTGGTTGTGGGACATACCTTTGCCCTAAGATTTTAGTTGCCTCTTTTTTTGTGTTATCCACAGTGCATTAAGATAAAGGAACATACAAAAATCCATTGGCTCCTTTAGGAAATGGAGCTTGATAAAACCTACATCACAGGTTTGTGTACTTATTCAGACTTATCTGTCAGGGCTCTTTAGCTTCAAGTAACAGAAACACTTTCAAACTTAAAAGAGTGAAGGCATTTTTTACAGGGATGCTGGGAGTCTAACTTTCCTGTATGAATCTTCAATTCACAAGTGAGAGTCTAATTCGTATCACTTGGGTCACATGACTGGCTCTTGGTGATGGTGGGGGGCTGGTGGTATAAAGAGATGGGTTATCATAAGGGACAGAATCAATCATTTCACAAGAAAGAGGAATTGACATGTGAGTGCAACAGTGTCCAAGGCGTCGTGGGCACCAGGTACAGCTGCTGGGGCTGGAGCTTCAGTACTTCCATTGAGACAAGAAAATGAATTTAAGCAACTTAGCACAAGTCCTGGAAAATAGTAGGTATACAAAAATTTTTAGTTCTCTTCTTCTCTTTCTTAATCAAACACCTTCCCAACTTCTCTCATCTTTTCTAATATAATGACTTGTAGCCTATATTCATAATAAAATAGAATGCTAAATTTAATTTTAAGTTTAGTGACAATAGAGATATAATTATTTTCCAACTAACTTTACAGATCCCTTGAGTTCTGTCCACAGGTTTTCAGGCTATACTATCACATGCTCATTCATTCATCAGTTATTCATTGAGTGAGCTTCAGGTGTTGTGTGTGGTGCCGTGACCACTTGCACTCAGTAAGTCATGGTCCTGCCCCTGAGAAGCAGAGAATATGAAATGGAAGAGTGTCAGAGGAGGAAAAGACCTGAGAAACCATCAAATCAGACTTTCTCTTTTTATTTTTTATTTTTTGGAGACAGAGTCTTGCTCTGTTGCCCAGGCTAGTGTACAGTGGCATGATCTCAACTGGCTGCAACCTCCCACTCCCAGATTCAAGTGATCCTCCTGCCTCAGCCTCCCAAGTAGCTGGGACTACAGGCATACGCCACCACACACAACTAATTTTTGTATTTTTAGTAGAGATGAGGTCTCAACAAGTTGACCAGGCTGGTCTCGAACGCCTGACCTCAAGTGATCTGCCTCAGCCTCCCAAAGTGCTGAGATTACATGCATGAGTCACCGCACCCGGTCAGGCTCTCTCTTTTTCAATGGGAAAAAACTAAGGCCCAGAAGTGACTTGCCCATGGTCAAGAGGACAATGAGTGATTTATCCAAGAGTTGGACACAGATTTTATAATTCAAAGAGATACCATAAGTAAAGCACCCAGTGCTGAATCTGATATGGAAGATATTTCAGGAGATGGAGGCTCCTTCTCCTCTTCCCAACTCAGAAATAAGAGATCACAAACTCACCTGCCCATAGGGACCAGACAAATAAAATAAATGAGTAAACGGGGGCAAGTATTAAAAAATAATCACAGTGAAAGAAGGATGGTTCATGACAACTGATCTCTGGTTCATTGCTAGGGACGTGCAAGGAAGTTGCAGAGATTGTGACGCATGGGTCTTCCCTCCCCTGATCTGCATATGTGATTGGCTTTACTCAGCTCCAGCTGTTGCTGCCATGCTGTGACGGAAGCCCAGTGACACAGGAGCTCATTTTTCCAAAGAAGTTGACATTGGAATAATTATATGAAACTCTCACATTTTAAAGCAGTTGACTCTAATTATTTTTACTGTACCTTAAAAAGTATTTTGAATTCACTCCAAGACAGGGGCTATCTAATTTATAAACTTCCAGGAGTTTCAGGACTCTAATCTGGAACTCTGCGGACAGAATTCAAAGGATCTGTAAACGTAGTTTAAAAACAAATATGTCTGTACTTTTACTAACATCCAACTTAAATTTAGCATTTTATTTCATTATGAATATAGGTTACAAATCACATTATCAGTATCTGTTAACTTTTGTCCCCTAGGAGAAATCACAGATATTTTTAAAGCAGTTTAGTTGTCGTAGATATTTACAAATATAATTTACACTTGCTGAAATTAGGGTGGTTATTAAATCCTCCACTGGATCTCAATCTGCCTGCCTAGGGAAGGCTGTGCAATATGGCTGACCGATTATTAAGCCACCCTACACTGGGCAGAAGTTCAGCCACCAAACAGTGAGGTCAGGTAACTTGGTCACTCTCACAGGCTGATCCAGATGCCTCTGCTGCCTTCCACTATTCCCTGTCTCTCATTGCTCATTGATTAATACAGAAAAAAAAAAAAAACGAGTAAAAACCACTCCAAGTTTATTGTTCGGCTCAAGTTAGGCCACAACCAATTTTACATTGTCTTTAAAAAATAAAACTTAACTTTTATTCCCCTCTATTTTACATGTATTTTCTTGTTTGTAATGGATTAAAAGACCTATAAATTACTAATCACATATTCTTCATAT